GACTAGCATTAAAGCCTCCCATGTTCTGGGCCAAACCTAACTTTCCATCTTTGCACTTTATTTTCTCTCTGTGCCCCCTCATATATGTTCCAGCTGTTTCCTACTCCTGGTCAATCTGATCTGGGAAATACTGGGTACTCAACAAAAGTTGATTTCCTTCCATATGAGTTTGCTATATTCTCCTTCCCCATGCCATCTCAATTTATAGGAAAACATCCCATCATTCTGAATAACTGACTGTCACACAGAAAATTATCATATTCATGAAAAATCCTGTAAAACCTAGAAAACAGACAGGAATGTTGACAAAGACGAGCAGTATGATTGAGCTGCAATGTCAAAAGAAAAAGGTAGTGACAAGCAGGATGCCATAGAAGTTTCAGAACATTTGAAACGTTAGAAGCATTACATGTAGGACAATGGATGCTAACAGTCTACTAGAGTTCTTCAAAATGATTCACTGGTCTCACAGAACTTACAATCCCCCGAAGAAGATTAATACGTATGGACTTCATAATGCAAGGTAGTGAAATCGTGCTCCAGTCAAGGTGCAAAATGTCTTAGAAGCATAAAAAAAAATTACAAATTCTAGAGGTTAAGAAAGCTTCATAAAATACCATGCAACAGAGGCTGTAAGGAGTTCAACAAATCTTGAGAAAAAGGTATTCCAGGCAGCAGAAACGGTCTAACAGAAAGGTAGAGGTGGAAATTGCTACAAGTGTGAGAAATAGGAAAACAACTGATGAACCCTGGGCCCCTAAACTATTACTATTTTGAACTGTCTAATGATCACTTACACAGTTTTAATGAATTAAGAGTGTGTGAGCTATTTGAGCTCAGGGTTTTACTTCAATGAATTCCTGAAAACAGGCAGATGATTATCTGCAGGATGGATTAGCTGTCATTAAACAGGATTTTCACAACCCTGTCGGATCCTAAGCTGCGTTACAATCCCTGAGTGTGGTGTCGCGCTCAGCTGACTCCCAGAGGCTTGCTCTTAGGCATTCCTGCAGGAGTAGGAAGGAAAAGCTCTAACATCCTGGGATCCCACTGAAGGTGACACACTCTTCTACACACACGGCAATCAAGGAAAAATCATACATACATTTTAAGGACTGGCAACCTTGTAATACAAAGTTTAAAGATGCAAAGTAAAACCATGTAAATGTTTGCATAGTACAAAGAAATCTACAATTAGAAGAGACTATAGAGAAAATCTAGATCAACCATGTGACCCAAACTATGTCTATCTAGTTATTCCAGGAATTTGGAATTAGGGCTCGTTGATTTAGTGTCTCCCTGTGCTTGGCCCTGAGAGACACCTACATATCCAGAAACTGTTAGCACCCACATATGACTGTGAGCATAGCCGGGGAAAGATCTCACACAGAGAGATCAATGAAGCTAAGAAAGACGAAAACTAAAGACAGAGGAAGTTCCAGGTTTTCCATTCCTAGTCCCTAACAAGGTCTGCGTGCATTTGACTCCCATCACATTCCTATCTTTCTTGTTCCTAAAACTAGTTCAAGTTCATTGCTGTTATTTGGAACAGAAGCTGAAATGAGGCAATAACCAAAATCCTTCATAAGGTCAATTGGCTGATTTATTACTGAGCTACCTTTTCCATACTTTCTTCTCATTTGTATTTTCTTTAAAAGCCATAACCATGACTTTGGTATATTACAGAGACAAATATGTGAACAGGGATCCAGGACTCTGTTGAGTATTTTTAAAAGGAAAATCCATCATCTCCAGGAAGGAGAAAATGTAGGAATCTTCAAGGTAGAGCCTTGAGGTATCTGCATAGCAATCAGGGATGCAAACAACCGGTAAATTTTTTTAAAACTTTGTATCTTGTATTGGGATATAGCCCATTAACAATACTGTGGTCATTTCAGTCTGAACAGTGAAGGGGTTCAGTCATACATATACATGTATCCATTCTCCCCCAAGCTCCCCTCTCAGCCAAGCTACCACATGACACTCAGCAGAGTTCCAAGTGCCACACAGTAGGTCCTTGTACACAGTAGGTCCTTGTTGATTTCCCATTTAAAATAGAGCAGTGTGTACATGTCCATCCCGAACTCCCTAACTAGTCCCTTCCCCCAATCTGTCCCCCGGCAACTGTAAGTTCGTTCCCTAAACCTGTGAGTAACAACCGGTAATGTACAGAGCTATCCGATTACTCTCCTACCCAAAGCCAATATAATTCTGAACAAACCAGATGAGTAGATCCAATTCAGTCTCCTCTGAAGCATGAGAAAAAGGTCATAACTGAGCATAGGGCATTGCATCTGGAATGCCCCGAGTGGCTAGCCACAGTTCTCCCAACCATACAAAGAGGTCTGGTGCTCTCCAGTGAGATCCCGGACCCAGACCCAAATTTCAACACTGAATACCAAAACATCTTAGGGCCTGCTTGAACTATTGACCCTATGACATACCCAGCACTTTCTACTATTAGATAAGGGGAAGAAAGTAACAGAAGGTTAATATCATGGCACTCTTTACAGGTGTACACGTCTGTGTGATGGGGCAAGTATCAAGATTTTCCTGAGACAGATCCCGTCTCCCCAAAGCTGGATCCACACCCAACAGATTTGACTACAAGGAGACCAGTTAAACATGTAGAGCAAGTTAGAGTTGACAATCAGAAGCCTGGACCAATCTAGTGGGTGGCTCTGCAGGTTTATATAAACAAAAACAATCCTGGAGGATCCTGGAGTTGGAAGGGACATAGAGAGTATGTACAAATTCATCATTTTACAGAGAAGGAAGCTAAACATTGAAACCAAATTCATTAAACAAATCCCTAACTACAGTAATACAGGCGAGATGAAAATCAAAGGGACTGTGACCAGATTGTGACAGAACCAAAAAGGATTATTTCCTAAAGTTTCTCTAATGGTTGAAAATTTATTTTTAATTATAAAAGAAATACTGTATTAGAAAAATCTATGAAAACGACTGTTGGGATTTTTTTTGGATATTCTTATTACTTAAGTTTAGCAAAATGGTTTCTGACCAAATGGGTTAGCATTTCAGTTAAGGATTAGACCAAGCACCTTTAAAAGTCAAAAAACTGTGTGTTGATTCAAAACCTTATCTGATGTTGTATATTTGCAATCTTGGCAGACAGGCAGTTTAGGCACTGTGACAAAACTCTAAATGGCAGAGAGTTGCTTATTTTAATATATATTTAAAAAAAATCCAGACATTCACATAGGGCCCTAATAAAAGTCACCAGAAATTAGACTTATATGTCAGCTGGGACCAAAATTAAAAGAATAAACGGTTAAATGGTCCAAATATAAACTTGGTTTCCAAAATTGCTGGCAAGGGGCCATAGTACTCTGGATTTCAGTCCTCAAAGGCTGCTTGGCCACAAGTATTAAGTCAACACATTACTGAGGGAAAAAAAACAACATATACTGTCTGGCAGTACAATCTACCCTTTATCTGCAGCACAGTGTATTTTAGAAGACCATTGATAAAATGTGAAGATAGAACCTGTTGTGTCCCCCAAGAAGTGCTATTAAAGTTACTTTTAAAGTGCAGATTCATTAAAAAGTAGGTCTTTTTTTAAAAACAATATTAATCAAAAGCAAACATGAAATTGATATTATTTAAATTAACATCAATAATCTATCTGCACATACTAAATATTTTTAAAATCTCCTATCCATTTTATAAATTACATGAATCCTAAGATTATTTTATAGACAAAACTAACTTAAAAATCTACTTTGCCACCACCACTGCAAATGGAAAAAGGAAGCAATAAACCAGAGGGTGTTGAATATAATCTATACTTTGTAGAGTCAATTTTCAACTAATTTTTAAATCTTAGCTGTTAGCCATATCTTATTTTGACAGTTTAGATTATTGGTGGCAAAAACAAAAGCAAACTAAAATTTCCGAAGAAATCTCAACTCTGAGCAATTGTATTTTCTGTTCTTCCATTCCAGATAACATTAGGCATCGAGAAGTTTTGATGACTACATACTCATCACAGATATAAAGGTTCCTGCAATTTGACATTTACCTTAAACTCTACATTTGTACTTTCAAATAATTACTTTTTATAATAATCTTATTCCACATTATTTAGAGAAAGCTATCTTTAAAAATCGTCCTGTTAAGACTGCAAAATTACCTCGCTTGATAGCTCGTAGTCCTAAACCAAATAAGGGAGGAATGGCACCTTTCGATCTTATAGTTGCAAACAGCCCAGGGTGAAACTTACAAACCGGACTCCGATGCCCTTTTTTCCGCTCAAAAACAAAACAAAACTGGTACCTGGAAAACCCGGGATTTTGTTCGGTTTTGGCCTATTAGACACCAGCCGGGCCCGCGGGAGCCTGACCCCGCGGCGAGGGCGGAGGTGCGCTTCTGGGCGCGCCCCTTGCCGCCACGCGCCCGCCGCTCCCGGCGCTGTCCCCCTACTCGCCCGGCTCCCCGGCGCCCCTCCCGGACGCGCGGCGGGAGGCACGGGCCTGGCTGGCAGTTCCCACGCGCCCGGGCCCGTTATCTCAGCGGCTGCTGCGCAGGAGTACCCGCCGCCACACACACACACACACACACACACACACACCTCCGCGCGGGGCAAGGGACTCCGAGGTGGTCCCCGCCGCGGACCCGCGCCCTACCGAGCCCGAGGCGGCGTCCCTTCCCCAGCCGCCCTGGCAGGCCCCTCCCTCGGGGGCCCACGTCGGTCCAGAGCCTCTCTCCGGCTCGGGTTCGCTCCCGGGACGGGATAAGGTGTCAGCGACGCTGCCAGACGCCTCCCGTCGGCGGGGGCGAAGCCAGCCCTGACCTCCTTCTATCCGCCTCTCACCACCCGCGCCCCTCCAGGGCTCAGGAGAGGGGGGCTCCCGGCAGGAGGCTGAAGGGGGCGCTGCCAGCTCCCGCAGGGGAGCGGAGGTCGGGGTCACATCTCAACTCGGCGGGGTCCGGGCGACAGGGCAGACGAGGGGTGGGGGGGGCGAGCCCCAACTCACCGGACTGCACTGCTCCTCGGGCCGCCGCCGCGGCCAGGCAGAGGCTGAGGCAGAGGCAGAGCAAGAGGGGGCGCGGGAGGGTCCGCCGCGGGCTCATGGAAGTGCCAGGGAGCCGCCGCCGCCGCCGGCGCCGCTGTCCGAGCCTCCCTCCCTCCCTCCCCGGCTCCGGGCGACGGACGGGGCGGCGGGAGGCATGACGGGAAATTCCTGGGCACGGGCAGCCGAGTCCAAATATGAGCAAAGGAGACGAGCGAGGGAGGACCGCCGAGCTCGCCCGCCGCGGACGGGGCCCGCTGCCCGGGTCTCGGCAGCCGCCAACTCCCTCCCTTTTCTGAATCCTCCTTCTCCAAGGCTGCCGCCTCAAGGCCGTCGGCCGCCGAGCACGACCCGGAGGTGCCCTCTGCCAGAAGGCATCCCTTTCCAGTGTTAGGGCCCAAGAGCAGAGCGAAGCATGCCCCCTCCACGGGTCCCGCCTAAGACCCCTGAATTAGAAGAGAGAGGAACCATCACGAGGAGACCCGATAGCTAGCCAGGGACCCGCGGGAAGACGTCTAAGGAGTTTAAGGAGACTCCTGCGATGCCCCCCCGCCGCCCCTGCCCCGATCAATTGAGAGCTCTGGGAGTAAGGGCATAAAAATATTTGGCAAGTGCTTCTCTTGAGTGTGGGAGGGGGAGGCTAGAGCAGCACTGTCAGTAATGCACACACTCAGGTGAGCCATCCTACCCAGAACGAACAGGCATTATTGATCTAACACATAAAACCAGCCCTCTGCATTCCAGACGAGTGAGACCTTTACACTAGGGTGTGTGTGTGCCTCGCGCTTAGCGAGAGTTAAAAAGGGGCTCTTCCCAAACTTATATTTGAATACCATATATGGTCTTCAACCCCTTTACAATAGTTTTGTATTTATTTCAACTTATCTGAAGGGTAGTGTTGAAATTTATTCAAAAGGTACTGCCTCTGACGACCGACCAAAAGTGTCAAGCCCAGTGTTTAATCACAGGCCTAAGCCAATTGTGGCTTGACTTTTCTTTGGCACTGATAACTCTGCCAGCAGTCAAGGCCAAATGACCTTAGCTTTTCAAGAGGACATAATGATGTCTAATTACGTTTTTTTTTCTTTTTACTGGGACTAATTGGACAGACCCTGAAGATGTAGGATTTATGTAATTATTTATAACCATTGTGATATGCTACAGAAATGATTAACTGATGCAAAATACTTAAGGGGTGAAAGCCAAACAGATTTAGAGGGTGGATTATTCTAACATGACCTAAAGTACAGTAATTTGTACATCACACTATTTGTTTGAAAATGCTATATTTGAAAATCAGAAACTTTATTTCAAAACAAATTCAGTTCTGGCATAGCATTAAGGCCCTGTATGCCAAAAACCAGTCCATTGGCAAGTGGTTCCCCTTAAATCATCTGGTACTGAGAAACACCACATCCCATGAATTATTCCTAGCAAATGGGCAGATTTCACCCTTAATGTACTAGCAGTGATAATGAGATGAAGGTCAGATAACCTAAGTAAACTTAACAGTAAATAAACTGTTAAACAGTATATTAGGGATTTAAAGGACACATGGCATTATTCAATTTAAGTACCTAGAAGTGGGGTATATGAAAGGGAATATTCAGGAAACTCTTTAAGTTTCCCTCCCTTTCCTCTTTTTTGTATATTTTGTATTATATAAGCACTTTTCTTTTCATATTCACTTTTTCTTATTTCCCTCACAGCCTGTTAGTGCAGGAGACACAAGAGACATGGGTTTGATCCCTGGATCAGGAATATTGCCTGGAGAAGGGAATAGCAACCCACTCCAGTATTCTTACCTAGAAAATCCCATGGGCAGAGGAGCCTGGCAGCGGGCTACAATACATAGGGCCACAAAGTCAGATACAACTGAAGTGACTTAGCACGCACCCACCACAACATGTAGTATAATTCTTTGCCCACAGTTTAAATGTTTGTTTAACAGACTTTTGGACTCTGTGGGAGAAGGCGAGGGTGGGATGTTCTGAGAGAATAGCATTGAAACAAGTATACTATCAAGGGTGAAACAGATCACCAGCCCAAGTTGGATGCATGAGACAAGTGCTCAGGGCTGGTGCACTGGGAAGACCCAGAGGGATGGGATGGGGAGGGAGGCGGGAGGGGGGATCGGGATGCGGAACACATGTAAATCTGTGGCTGATTAATATCAATGTATGGCAAAAACCACTACAATATTGTAAAGTAATTAGCCTTCAACTAATAAAAAAAAAATGGAAAAAAAAAAGAAAAAATAATTAAAAAATAAATGTTTGTTTAAAAACAAAAGTAAAATGAGCACATTTTGTAGATATAAAGAAAAGCTTGTTTCAAAGGATTGTAATAATTTTGTCTATATTTAAAATAGTTGACCTTAAGCACAAAATTACATAAAATTACAAAGAATGCAGTATAACACTGCCTGTTACTATAAGTGGGGGCTTGATTAATTCTGTCAACTGCTGACTTGACAGCGATATTAGCAGCTGTTCTAAAAGCTTGAATAAATATGTTGAAGAGGAAAGGAAAGAACAGCAGTTCCTGAGTACATAGTAAGTGCTCGTCACTGTGCTACTTGTTTTATACACAGCATTTTATTTAAATCTTCCAAGTATCCTTGAACTTTTTCTTTTTTGTCCCCATTTACAGATAAGGAGAGGCCTAGATAAGGAAATTATGCTGTCAGGAAGGGATAAAGTAGTATTGGAATTCAAATCTCATTCCAAAGGCCACATATACTCTTTCTACTCATCTGATCTGCCCCATTTTCTCTACATTAGGGGGGAAAAAATGGGGTTTTCAAAAACTGTATTCATTGAGTTCTTGTGGTTTTAAGTAACTAGTGTGCACTCAGGTTACCTCAAGTAACAGGGGTAAAGAAAACATGTGGAAATAAGGCCAGAGACTTAACCGGCTTGTCAGGTCATCCTTTGTGAGCCTGGGGGTGGGGGCCTGTGCCTTTGATGGGTACCAGAAACAGGAAAGTTACCACCCTCTGACCACATTTCTATGAGTTTTGTAGTTTAAATCATATATTTCCCAACATTTTCTCTGTTATTATAATCTTAATGACAATCATGTTAATGTAGTACCTTAAACTATGTTTGCTTTTGATATGTGCAGGGCCCTGTGGGGGGTTCCTGGGCACAAGGCCTTTTTGTCCAATGTTTCTTTGATTATAGGAAACAGCCCTCATTCGCCCTCCGTGACCTTCCCTGAGTTCCAATGGGCGGATCCAACCAGTTTTTAACAAGGGAAGGGAGAGGATAGGAGACCCAGGAGAAACAAACTGTCAAGAGCAGCCTTGGGGCAAGGTCCTGGTCCCCACTAATGCACACAACAATATCTCTGAGCTGTTTTGCAGATACTGAAACCCCCTCCAGGTGGGAGAAGTTAACGATTAACAATGGTATACTGCCCACAAGCATGTAGACCCCAGACGAGTTGGACCTGAAGGTTGACAATGTGGACTCTACTTAACTCACCACCAACCCATTAGAAGAATGTCTATGAGCTGATCACACCCTCTTTGCACAACTACTATAAAAACTTACCACAGTCTTCCACAAATTGGGACACTTGGTTTGAGGGTGTGAGCCTGCTGTGTCCCCCTTCGCCTGGCAAAGCAATTTGCTTAGTCACTCAGTTGTGTCCGACTCTTTTGTGACCCCATGGACTGTAGCCTGCCAGGCTTCTCTGTCCATTGGATTTTCCAGACAAGAGTACTGGGGTGGGTTGCCCTTTGCTTCTCCAGATTTTCCCGACCAGGGATCAAACCCGCCTCTCCTGCACGTGTCTCCTACACCGCAGGCAGATTCTTTACTGCTGTACACTCTAGATACTCTTTTCTAACCTCTCTCCAAAGTCTGTTTTCGAGATTTGATTCCACACTGTGTACCGAGAAGCTGAGCTTTCGGCATCACTTTTAAGACAAAACACTCAGAGGAGGTAACTATTTCCTCTGTTTATTATATATATATATAGATATATATATATATACATTATAGGGATGCCTCACCCAACCCAGTGGTGTGCTAGTAAGTATTTAACAACCAGATCTGGAGGAAGGAAACCTGAATTATAACAAAAGCCAATTTATATGGATGTCAATACTCCCAGCAACCTGAGTCTCTGGAGTCAAGGTTGAGAAGAGATGTGCTCAACCAGCTCTTCGCCCACATGAGCCAGCCCATCTCACCACTCCCCAACTCCTTGTTAATGTCTTCCGAACACAGCAAAATTCAAGTTATACAATCACTGATCCTTCTACTCCTGCCCCCACCATTAGTTGCTCAGTTGTGTCCAACTCTTTGGCACCCCATGGACTGTAGCTGGCCAGGCTCCTCTGTCTGTGGCATTCTCCAGGCAAGAATAGTGGAGTGGGTTGCCAGTCCCTTCCAGGGGATCTTCCCAACCCAGCGACTGAACCCAGGTCTCCCACATTGCCAGCAGATTCTTTGCCATCTGAGCCGCCAGGGAAGCCCTCTTCCAGCTGGCAGTTCTCTAGAGCTCACAATCAAATGCCCTGGAGGGGAGAGGTTGATTCTATCACACCTGTCCCTCTTGGGGAAAGTTCTTGTATGAGGTTATCTCATAAGCCACTGAGTACCTCTGAGCCAGGCGTCCTCTCCTGAGTCTTCAGCTGTCGCTAAGAGGAAAGGCTCACAGGGGACATGACATGGTCACCTCTACTAAAGAAAGAGACTGGCGACTCCCCTGGTGATCCAGTGGTTAAGAATCGGCCTTCCAATACCGGGAGTGCAGGTTTAGTCCTCGGTCAGGGAACTAAGATCCCACGTGCTGAGGGGCAACTAAGCCTGTGGGCTCATGACCTAACTAGAGAAAAGCCCGAGCTCCACAGCTGAGACCCAACGTGGCAGAAAGGAAGAAAGAAGCAGACTGTGTTGCTGCCTTTTCAGGGGGGGGTGCATCTGGGGCGGCCTCTTGAAAAGGGAGTCTGTGAGCATGGCAGGCATTCAAGCTACAAGCTCCCTGGCATAACATTCTCACCTCTTTAATGAACTTCCCTCAGCCATTATGCAAAGCTCTGAGACAGCC